ATAGTTTCTATCCTTGAGCTGTCAGACTCTTAAACATAACCACAATCACTCCACGCACACACACACACAGAAATGTATGACTAATTTTTCTTTTTCTTTCTTTATCTTTTTCTTTTTCCCTAATTATTTGCATTGGAATTATTCTTTATACTATTTATGTTGTTTGTATTTGTTGTCATGTGATTAAACCAGTGAGGCTAAAACCAATTCTGTTGTATTTATTTTGTACAATGACAATAAAGGCTATATTATACTATATGATATCTGGGAGCTTCATCATAAACATTCTAGTTTATTAATATCCTTTTCGACTGGTCGTTCAAGAACTGGGTACCAAATTCAAGGCATGAATTGTGGTATTTCTTCTTGTGAACTACATAACAACACTACAATTTAAACAGCCTTTTAAAGCAGAGCACTGAAGTGCAAATTATTGCTTTGTTTGTGAATTACTCAATTTCTACATCCTTTCTATACCTACTGTGATAAAATTGGCGATTGTTCATCCTCTAACCACCAAGCTATAAAGAATTCTGCTTTATACTATCTTAAACGCACATAATGTCAGTTGGACATTATCCTTTGTATCAGTTCTCATAAAATGAAACACTTCATATCATTACTTTGCTTCGAGGTAACTCTAGAACTTGGTGCATACAATCAGCCTGGCTTTGTCCTTCCATTCCCATCTGCGATCCAATTTTCACTCAACTGGTTGTTAACATTGCTGCACACGTATTTTGATGCGATTCTGAAAATCTACTTAATTCAGATTCAGCGATAAGTTGCATTCTAGCATTCCTATTTTGAAGTTGACAATAAGCGGAACACATTGCAATTTGCTTTACTTATGCCAAGTTATCTTCACAAAGGATATGAACAAGCCTTGTTGACCAATTAATCAACCAATCAAATCCTACATGTTCTGGCCATTGTCCTCATCATTTTCTAGTTCTGATATATGTTGGAATATCTGAAACACTAAGGAAGTCGCTGACCTTCAGCGAATCATCTTTCTGAATTGACCTTGAGCCATTCTGCAACGATGATTTTCATCTCAATCACAGTTGCATTGTTAAATACTTAGTTCCCTGTATTTACAACCACTACAATTATTTCTGTAGATAATTCAGAGCATTCAACTGTTGAATATTATCTTTCTTCACTTTCTCTCGATACACTTAGTGCATGACCCAAGCTTATCCTCGGAAGAACCTGATCGCCTTCAATCATTCTTCATTCATCAACCCCTCATTCTTTTCTCAATGATGATGATATCCTTTCTGAAATGAATTTCCCAGAATGGCATCCAATACTTTTAAGTGATGGGTGGACAAGAGATGAGGCAACAGGTTTATGACACCAGTTGCTTGATTTTTGAATCAGTTTGTTAGTAATTAGTAATGACGGTTGTCTCAAAGTTTCGTGGATATTTTTCTTAAGTAACTGTAGATCCTTCATGCGGTGGTTAGATTTGGTCCTAACTTCCTCACCTTGTGCTTTTGTAGAAATCTCATCTGCCATATCTAGTGTGGAGAGAGATTTTATTTATTTATTATTTTTCATAAATGCTGCTTGGCATTTCACTGTCCTGAGTGATTTAGTATCTTCTCTAAACTCAAGTTGCCTAGCTGTTGATTGTGGCAATAGTTAACAATCACATCTTATCCTAATGTGTGATTCCAAACGACTCCCAGGTCTTAGTCCTGTCGGCACCAAAATGGCGGACAGGGAGAAGTGGCTTTTAATTGCCCATGATATTAGGAAAGAAAATACACATCAAGCAAACGCCATTATTGCTTAGAACATCCTTTCTCTGTTATTGCCTTTATGGAGTTCCCAAACACACTCTTGTACCTTCTTGTAAATACTACAATTTCTCATGTAGTGGGATTTCTTCCAGGCTGAGTTCAAGTTACAATGCCACACGAGATAACGTAATTTCATGGCTTTGAGAAGAATACGGGGGCAACAGATTAAGCACCGTTGTTTTGTGACATGTATGGAAGTGGCATGTGATTTTTGTACACATACCACCCACATGGCTTTGACTTATACTGGCACTTAGTAGATTGTCCCCTATATTGCTATATATATGTATCTAGTTTTATATATATATATATGTATATTTTCAGTAATAACCTATTGCTTATTGCTGTTATACCTACTGCACAAACTAAACTTTCTGATTCTTTTTCTTCAAAGAAAAATCTACTCCCTCACTACTTTACTTAGCAACTGAAACTACATTACATCATTAGAAATACTTCTAGAAATATTGTATGGAATTCAGACCAGTGTGATATGAATAGGCTTAAACTTATTGGGGTGACTTGAAATTCTGCATTAATTGTGCATACTTTTATGTTTATTTTACCACTGAAATTAACTAGAAAGTTTATTTAATTTTGATTCACATCATCTAACTATGAAAGTTGTTAAAGGTAAGCTGGGGTTGTGTTTTTAAAGGCTACACAAGGGGTTGAATTTCAACATCCAGAGTTGACTCCCTGACTCTAACCTTGGAGAAGACATTGGGATTCCATCTTCTGTTTAAGTCTCTGGAATGAATCTTCCCAAAATTTCACCCTCTGGGGAATTGAACAGAATTGCTCTAACCCCCTTGGATATGTAAGAAGGTTGAGTTTTTCATGAATGAAAATGGAACGTAATGAATGATGTTAATATTTTCTGCCATTCTGAACATGACTTAATGGCAATCCGTACAGATTAATCCATAGCATTGATTTCTAGCTTCATTTAGGAGAAATAAATGACATCTTGGATTTCCTTCAAAAGTTAGACTACAGTCCTACCATTCATTCAGGTATCAACAGACTCAACACATACGTTTTGGGGAAAAAAAAGCTAGGTTTGTGACATTGCTCCTCATGACCAGATATAGTATACCATTGGTTTGACTGAAAACAGGGTACTAGCTATATAGAATATGTGCAGAGAAGATAGATGGAGTCTTTTGGAGTTTCTTCATCATTCCAGAACATTTTTGCTCCTGCATCTCCCAAAGCATTTAGATGACATATTTGAACATTGTCCCATATGAGGCAGGCAGATTTGTGCCTTAACTTCTTGCTCAAGTAATATATCTTACAACACTAGTTGCTAAAGTTGCTAACATTGTGAGCATGTCTTGGAATATTTTCACTCTGGCTTAGATTGTCTGGATGGAAAGGTACAAGTAAGGGAAAGTGAAAGCTCAGAGTAGTTAGATATACAACACTTTTATAAAAGGGAAGTTTTAAAGCAAATTAAGAAGTCATTCACAGCTTCAAACACATTGATTGACCTGCTCTAGACTTGCTAAATTGCTATAAATAAACAGACCTGCAATATGATCTTCTTGCAATTGGACTTCATTATGTTCCTGCATTTAGGGAATACACCACATGATTCAAGATGCAGCCATAATATGTAGTTTCCAAATAAGTACCTGTTATTGCCCAGGGAAAAAATGTTTGCTTACTCCTATACTAAATAAACACTTTCCAGATTTTGATAATGTTCCATTCAGATCTAAGAAATAAAACCAAGGCTCATATTTGCCTAGCAAATCATCCAATCTGCCTTGATGTAGAACCTGGTAATTATTTGAGAGTTTGCTGAAACTTCTGCAGAGAGGAATCTTGTAACCATTTATGTGTGATGGATTTTAGTTTCCCAAGACCAAATTAGGACAGAAGTATGCTACTTTCCCCCAAGATATAAGTCCAAGGATGTGACTGAGGCTATGGATGACTTGTCTAATTTATACAACACCTTTCAATAAAATTGATGGTCACTTTCAGTAGATAAGATGGTGCTTAATTCTCTCTTCTTCGCTTAAGATGACACACATTGGATCAAAAGATCCATAGGAGCCAATTTAGGGCTTCCAAAAAACTTCACAGGAACAATATGATAGAAATGAGGTTCTCTCCCACCAATGTCCATAGAAAAACATGCTATTTCCATAGATGAATATTTTAAAAACCAATTCCTACGGTCGTGGGTATGAGTAACTAATCAGTTGAGTCACCGTCCTACATTTTTCCTCCCCCAAAAGTTGCTGTTAAAACAACACTGAACTTTAAGACGCTACACTGTCTAGATTTTGAGAAAAACTTCACTTGGATTCTGATTGTACATATTTCCATCTTAGCTCCCACACATACCAACTCAGAAGTGAGCTTTATAGGATTTTAGCCGTAAAATAATTTAAACTAACCCATGGAACAACTAAACAAGCCGTACTGTACATTGAGATTATAATTACAGGTGAAAATGTCATTTAAAAAACACGACGACAGGAGGTTGTTCTCCACGGCAGGCCGCGTGTAAGACATAAAGACTCCTGCTTCTTCGGTTTATGCATACACACAGCTTCATGTATTAACTGTATCTTCAAATGCATATTTGTATGTATGTACACCAAGATACATGTGCAGTTCTCTGTATATTTATCCAAAACAGAAACAGAGAGCAGTTAAATAAGCACACATGTATACACAGAAAGGGAAGGGGGGGGCTGTCCACCTTGTCATGCCATTATGAGAAAGGACAGTTGCAGATTGCTGATTTTACAACCATTAAAATTTTTGCCATTTTTAATGGGGGAGAAAAAGCTCTTTTAAAACTCCCCCCCCTCTTTTCTCACTCTTTTTCTTAACCCCCCCTTTTTTTCTTTCTTTCTCTCTCTCTCTTTTTGTGCAGTAAGCATCGTTGGAAGAAGACCAAAGCAGAGCAACTATAAGTTAAATATACACTTGAGCTTAGCTGCATTTACATTACTCTTTTTTTTTTAAGGAAAAGCAGGCTGAAAGGGACTTTTTTTGTTTGCTTAATCAGTATGTGTATTTTGATCTCTCTCTCTCTCTCTTTCTCTCTCTCTCTCTCTTCCTTGCCATTATCACATTCTTTCACTAATCACCATAGATTTGTCTCCCTACAAATTGCATCATCTTCTGAAGAACGTTGGGTTTCGCAGGCAGGCGGCTAGTCACCTGCAACAACCAAGGGGTCCTGCAGAAGCTTCCAAACTGCTGTCAGTGTCCGATGCCAAGGTCTGGTCTGTGGACATGGAGGAAATGTCATTGACAGATGAGGAGGGAGGGAGGCTTTCGCTGCTGTTCACTGCTGCACCTGTGCTAAGAAAATGAACACCGACGTGATTCAACCTGGAAGCAAGAGAACGCTCGAAGAGACATGAACAAACACACGCGCCTCTCAGTCGGATCTGGCCCGTGGGGGGTCACCCTGGAAACAGAGAAGGACTGGCCCATGGTGCCTTTGCCCGCGAAAATGGAGCTCGTGAGGGCCACGGGCGGCTCTCTCAAGCTCTGTTTTCACTGGCAGNGGGGCGATATGCTGACTCTGTAAACCGCTTAGAGAGGGCTGAAAGCCCTATGAAGCGGTATATAAGTCTAACTGCTATTGCTATTGCTATAATGTTAGAAAGTATTCACAGAAACGATAGTGGAAGCTTGGAATCAGCTTCTGGCAGAGATAGTGAGTTACTCATCAGTAGTTGAGCTTAAACATATTTGCGATAAAAACATGTCTTTTATCGACAAAAAATTAAAAAATAAAATAAAAATTACAAATAAAAATAATTAAAAACCAATAATTTTTTTTAAAAAACCCCAAAGGGCAGAATGGATGGACCACTAGGTCGTTTTTCTGTTGTCAATTATCTGTTTCAAATGCAGCTGCTCTACCCGGCCCTAGACAGAATACAAACGGTTCTGAATTGTTTCAAGCGTCCCAACGTTAAGGTGCATGAGATGTGCGGCTATAGCATTTCCCCCCCCCCCAGAAATACAGTAATTCACGTCGGTTTCTTCCACATGCATTCAAGGTATTGGTTTCCCACGGACCGGCCAAAGTCGCCGCGCACACTGCGCAAGTGAAGGGGGCGTGTCTTTACCACCCGTTGCCCCGCCCCCGGTGGCCATAGGCAGTATATGGGATTCAGTTATTTTTGTGGGACAAACCATCGATGTAGAGAGGGGGGGGGACTGATCACGGGCAGCCGCGGTTCATTTTTCTTCTAATTGCTTCCTCCGCACCGCGTTCCGTGGCCGTTCCTCTTCCGCAGCGCCGCCGCTTCCCTCCCCATCGGCTTGCTGGAGCGTTGGTCCAGTCCAACGGCTCCTGGGCAACAGAATGGACAAGATGGCGGCGGTGCGGCGGTCTTTGGGGCCCCTCTGAAGGTGACTTCCTGCACTGGATTGCGGGCGATGTCGGACTCGGAGTCGGAGGATGAAGGCGCCAACAGGCAGCTCAAGTTCGTGTTGTTGGGCGATGGCGCCTCCGGCAAGGTCAGTCCAGAGAGCGAGGAGGGTGCGGGTCCCCAGGGGCGTATCGGTGTGGGTGTGGGTGTGCGCACACCACGGCCACAGAACCCCTAGTAAAAATGTTTGAATCCCACCACCTTCTTGGGGACGGTTGTCAGGGATTAGGCGGGGTGGAAAGGGAAAAGGCTAATCTCATAAACATCTTGGAGGGACGATTAAATTAATCTGTTTGGAAAGGATGTTTATGATGAAGTGTTCCCCCTCTAATGAAATTAGGGAACCGTTTCCTTCTTTAAGTGGTATACTGTAACTCCAACATATGTGTTCAATGAGAGCTGGCCCTGTGACGTAAATGCTGTTCTAATTTACGTTGCAATAAAATAGCTCTTTCAGTGCCTTGAAATAAGAGTATTCTGGATTTGAAATCTGTGAAGGTGTTGCAAGTTATTCCTTGAAATGAATAAAACGTCGGCATAGCAACAATACAGCATTGTTGGCTTTATTTTTCTGATTCTGTTTCAAGTATCTGCTGAATAGGATTCCTCTGATTTGTAAACGTGCCAATTGTTGTAAACATTGTTTTGCCGGGTGCAGAAAGTGCTTCGAGGTAGACTAGTAGAGGACTATTGCCATAGTCTCCAATGAAGGAGGCTGACCTTAATGGGCACATACATTGTGAGAGAAGCCTGTTTTGACCAACATTTCAATTAGGCTTTTCTATCATAACAGAGAACACTTGTTATTAGGCAACATAAAAGCACCATCAATAAAGCATGGTATAGCATATTTGCATTCTTTATCACAGTTTATCATTTCAACAGTTGCCATAATTTCAGTAATAAAAGTCTTTGCATATCATATGCACAAATAAATGGCTATGGAATNAACTCTTTTATTCTGTTATTCTAATCCAGACTGGCCTGGTTTCTTTTTTAAACAGTGACTCTTCTCTTTTCTTAAAACATAGTTACAGAAATAAAATATAGTAATCAGTAATTCAACCAATTCTCCAAATATTCTGAATACTAATTTGGTGAGTCCACTTTGTTACATATCCCATTTTGCTTTTATTTGTAAAATGTTACAATCTTTCAGTATGTTAGAGGCGTTTCTCTGTGTATAATTCTGATGAGGTTTCTATTAGCCTGATCCTGTACATAGGTAAGTAAATAGGTCTATTGTTACAGCCATAGGTCATAGTATGATAGAATAACAATATTTCTAGACACAAAGACGTCAAACTAAGCGCAGAGCTATCATTGACTTTTTTTTTTAAAAAAGGTGAATTTAAATAACAAGCCGAAAGTAGCAACCTGACTATTAACAGTTGGAAACACATAAGAAGATAATTCAACCATTCAAGGTCCATGCTATAAAGTTCACCTACATGTGATCTCATTGTAAATAGGGCAGTGGATAAAGTAGTGAAAGTCTTTCATCTGGCTGGCTGTTCAACAGGATGCTTACAAAAGCTCCCTTAAAGTTATACTGAAGGCATTGTCTTTAAGCAAAGGAATATAAAGGCCTTTCTCAATAGGCAATTATGTTAATCAGATATTGTGATAGGTTTCCATGTATTTCATTGCAGCAAAACCAAGATGAAAATATGGGTGTTTATATTTTAATAGCATCTTTATTACCGTATATTCCCAGTTGCGTAATGTAGAAAACAATGTTTGGTGAGGTAGAATTCTTGAACGCTTTCAAGATTCTTGTAGTTTCCCAGTGATGCAAAATGCCCTCTGATAGCAATGGGAGGTAATCCTGCCTCTAAACTTAGGTATGGAACAGGGTACTATGGAGAATTTCCAAGCCCTTTCTTATAAAGTTGTTTTGGACTGCTACTTGGGTGATAGCCTTTTCATGCCACCCATTGATCTATGTCTCCTACACCACCTCAGCTATGATCTTGTCTTGGAATATTTTAAATGCAAAGGAGTGTAGCTATTTTCCTGCACTAAATTGCCATTAGGAAATTAACAAAGGTAGCAAAAAAGAATAGTCACTATAGTGGCTTTAAAAATATTTTATATATTTGCTATACATATTTTATATATAGCAAAATAACCTTGTATGCAACAATTGTCCCTCTCTCATGTTTACATAAGTATCTTGTATTCAAACAGCCAAAAATTACATACTGGGATTTTCTATAATTTAAGGAAAGGACACAGTAATTCTTCATATTGTTAAGTATTATTATATGTATTGCTTCACTGGGGTATTGGGCAGATTCATGGTCAGAGAAATAGACATGATACAGAATAGATATTGATTGATTGATTGATTGATTACATTTATATGCCTCCCTTTTCCCCGAAGGGGACTCAGGGCGGCTCACAATTCAATCAGGGAAGGGGGTACAGACAGGGGGAAAAAAAAAAAAAGCCATAACAATGCAAAATTTAAAAACACACAACAACCATACCATTTGAGAAGGGGGGCAAAAACTCTTTAGCCCCAGGCCT